CCCCCCACCCAAATGAAAAAATCTATGTAGGCCCTACATTCTATCCATACAGCTGAGTAATTGCAACTTCTGGGCACAGTGCACGATAGGCCAAGGCCGTATGTAACGTATTTTGAGTCTCTCACTCATAATAAATCTAGGCTGTTCCGTACGAATATCCATTAGACCTACTTCCGTTTCATTTTTCAAAATGGCGCTGCCCTGCTAAGATAATATAATGTTTTGGTCTCAACCAACGATGCAAATGCTGGCGCAGATTGCTTTTTGCCTTCATGTTAAATTGAATTGCAAGTTTTAAGAACTTGCAAGGTTTCTGGAGATATATATCCATGTAACCGTGAACTATGAAGAAAGATATTAAAACGGAACCATTACGATTGTTCAAACTTTGTAAGTTTGGAGACGAGTTTCTGTTGAGTCTTGGAGTCTTTAAAGTTTGAGTTTGAGTTGAGAGTTTGCCGAGTTGAGCCTGTCTGTTGAGGAGACCCCATAGCCTAGTATTTTAGAAAACTAGATTATTTAATGTCTAGATCTAGATCTAGATTCAATATAACTAGATCTATAGTTTAGCAGAATTTTTAGCACAGAGGCCTGTGCCATAGATCTGGCACTCCTGTAGACTACTGTACTGTTGTACTACAAACAATTGCGGTCCATTGCACTAAATCACACTAGCACAGAATAGGCCCTACTGGATATTGATACTGATTTAAATAGTCATTATCACTGTTCTATCAGTAGATCTAGCCTACAAAATGAGCAGCACCTGACCTAACGAAATCATATGGGGTTCCAGGGGGGCATGCCTCCCCCCTCCCCCCTGAATCTTACCATAATTTGATGTTAGGAAGTTAGGTTTGAAATTGAGGCTATCTCTCCATATCGGCGCGATCATAAAAAAGTAATCGTTTAGAAACAAGTAATCGTCGGTGGGGTCAAAACTAGTCCCCAAACGGGAATGCAATTGTACAGGAGTGCCATAGATCTAGATCTAAATCTAGTATACAAAGTTGATTAAACGGTATTTTTTTACTTTCCCTCCCGTCTCACACTTAACTACCAGTTGTCCATTTTGTACTAAATATTCATGCACTGAACACGAACATCAACTTCATTTCCGTCGCAAATTAATAGTTTTTGAAATATTTGATTGTTCTTAATTGAGATAGACGTGCTTTGGACCAATCCGGGGGTTCCAGGGGGGCCTGCCCTCCTGAGGTAAAAGAAAATATGGGGGGTTATAGGGGGGCACGCCCCCCTGTTTTAAACAATAATTAAATATTTTACAGTTAGATTTGAAATTTTCTTGAAAATAATTTATTTGCGACAGTTTTAGTTGCTTTATTTTTGTAATCTGCAGCAAACAGTACTGCAGTTTGACCCCTGAAGCAGTGCATCTGTGTGCGGAAGTGAAAGTAAAAATTTACCGATTAAACTTATTAAATGCGGCTAGATTTACAAGGTCTAGATCTAGTCTATCTAGATGTTGCCCAACGCGTTGGAATGAGACGTTCGTCAATTTTTGGGCATGTGGAGTTATTGATAGCCTTGGCTTATCATCTGAAAAATGATTTATCTGCCTTGCTTCCAGTGAAATAGATTATCCATCTATCTTGAGAACTCAAGATATTAATTATGAATGAAGGAAGTGAGGTCACTTGGTTTCAGTGGAGTGGTGAAATTAACGAGAAAACGGCTTCAAAAGTTAGGTAACTCCAATAGACTAAAGAGTCCTTGAAAACAGAAAAATTACATTGTTTTTCAGTAAATTTCACTCTAAATGAGGTTGAGCCCAAAAAATAAGAGTTTGTTGAAAATTTCGAAACTGGCGGAAGTTGTCACTATAACTGCCTGCGTCCTCCTTTGACTCATCTAAATGCGTCTTCATTTTCATTTCCCGTAGTTGGAGGGAGGGAGTCCCTGGTTAGCTGGTCTTACATCTTTGCTTTTTCTATTGTTCTGTTGGTCTATTCAATTCGTTGTTTTTCTGCCTTGCTTCCAGTGAAATAAATTATCCATCTATCTTGAGAACTCAAGATATTAATTGTGAATGAAGGAAGTGAGGTCACTTGGTTTCAGTGGAGTGGTGAAATTAACGAGAAAACGGCTTCAAAAGTTAGGTAACTCCAATAGACTAAAGAGTCCTTGAAAACAGAAAAATTACATTGTTTTTCAGTAAATTTCACTCTAAATGAGGTTGAGCCCAAAAAATAAGAGTTTGTTGAAAATTTCGAAACTGGCGGAAGTTGTCACTATAACTGCCTGCGTCCTCCTTTGACTCATCTAAATGCGTCTTCATTTTCATTTCCCGTAGTTGGAGGGAGGGAGTCCCTGGTTAGCTGGTCTTACATCTTTGCTTTTTCTATTGTTCTGTTGGTCTATTCAATTCGTTGTTTTTCTGCCTTGCTTCCAGTGAAATAAATTATCCATCTATCTTGAGAACTCAAGATATTAATTGTGAATGAAGGAAGTGAGGTCACTTGGTTTCAGTGGAGTGGTGAAATTAACGAGAAAACGGCTTCAAAAGTTAGGTAACTCCAATAGACTAAAGAGTCCTTGAAAACAGAAAAATTACATTGTTTTTCAGTAAATTTCACTCTAAATGAGGTTGAGCCCAAAAAATAAGAGTTTGTTGAAAATTTCGAAACTGGCGGAAGTTGTCACTATAACTGCCTGCGTCCTCCTTTGACTCATCTAAATGCGTCTTCATTTTCATTTCCCGTAGTTGGAGGGAGGGAGTCCCTGGTTAGCTGGTCTTACATCTTTGCTTTTTCTATTGTTCTGTTGGTCTATTCAATTCGTTGTTTTTCTGCCTTGCTTCCAGTGAAATAAATTATCCATCTATCTTGAGAACTCAAGATATTAATTGTGAATGAAGGAAGTGAGGTCACTTGGTTTCAGTGGAGTGGTGAAATTAACGAGAAAACGGCTTCAAAAGTTAGGTAACTCCAATAGACTAAAGAGTCCTTGAAAACAGAAAAATGACATTGTTTTTCAGTAAATTTCACTCTAATAGGTTGAGCCAAAAAAATAAGAGTTTGTTGAAAATTTCGAAAATGGCGGAAAAATGCCTGTTTCTCGGATTTCTGTATTTTGACGAGCGCTTGATTTTACCACGCTGCCTAACATATCAGCTTATATATTAGGATATAGTTATTAATATTACTGTAATTTAAATAGATAGGGCTGAAATGAAGTAAAACATGTACTTACAGTGTGAGAGTAAGGGACCCATGTGTATGTTGTGGGTATTAGAGAATGCATGAAATATTGATTGATGAAAACAATACGTGGAAGAAAATGCATACATAATTAATTAGGCCTCTTAACCGAATGAAAATATGCAGTTTGAAAAAGACTGAACAGTATGGTGACTGAAAGTTGTGACTGCTGTTTGACTAAGTGCTTGCTGGCTTTTCTGTTCCCTCTCTACACAACATTCACTTACACAACTTCAACTACTGGATAGTTTTCCTTTATAAGTTGAAGCAATTAATATTATAAATGTGGTTAACTTCAACAATAGATTCCACAGTAGAGATCAGAGATGATAATTGCAAAATGAAGTATATGTCTCCATGTTGATGTTGTGAAGGGTGTGATGAAACAATGACAGTATCTTTTATCATACACATGTTTATTGAGGGAGTTTATTGAGTGGTAGAATACAATCATTTCATCACACAAAAATGTTTTAGTGACAAAAGTAAAAGAGACTGCTCAAGACTGAGCAACAAGAGCCAATCCTCTGCCAGACCTCAGCAGGCTCCTGACTTGGACTATCTGTACCATTCATATATATGCTGCTTTGATAAAATGTCGTTCAACTCTGGAACTCTCAGATTTTGTTTTGCGTGATTTTTCTTTCAGCTCACCAGATTCTCTGCATTACAGGAATCAATTTTGACAACAAGTCACTCATTGTGAGTATACAATTTTATTAGCTGCACTTTTTTTTTCATTTGGTTGTTTTATTTTTTTAAATTACTAATTCTAATATATTAAAAACAGTGTGTGTTTCTTGAAAATTTTTCTAGAAATTTATGGACCTTTTTAACCTCTTCGTGACCTATATGATAGACGTATATGATATATATATATATATATATATATACACTGTTTGTCATATTTTCTTACACGGCGAACAAGCCAAGATGCTGCTATGATGTACGACGCTAGCCATGCCTTGTGAAGGGTGAGGACCATGTTTGTCTTAGGTTGTATTCAGCATACCGTTTCTATTACATGATGACATGCATTTCGTAAATTTAACTAATCGCAGATTCACATTCGGGATTAATTTTTCAGTACAAAGAAATCTTTTCCTTTTAGACATAATGAATAGTATTTGCAAAGCGGGTCTAATTATAGGAAACTGACAGCTAAATCAAGCGCTACTCTGTGTCCCCGTCAAGCCAAAATTGTGCCCGGTGAAGCACGAATTGACTCTGTGTCATGAAGGGGTTAATTAGTTTTCTCTGTACAGCTATTCATTGTATGATTTTGGCAGATAATCTATTGTTTTACATTTCTCTTGCCTTGTCTTTTTAATTTTTGTCCATTCATTGTATGATTTTTGCAGATTGTTCTACATCTCTTGCCTTGTCCCTTTTGTGTCTTCCTCTGCCTCTCTCTTGTCTTGTCACTTTAACTGCCTGCGTCCTCCTTTGACTCAACTAAATGCGTCTTCACTTCCATTTCCCGTAGTTGGAGGGAGGGAGTCCCTGGTTAGCTGGTCTTACATCTTTGTTTTCTTTGTTGTTCTGTTGGTCTATTCAATTCGTTGTCTTTCTTTCCTTCTCTCATTCCTGTTGCAGATTATGGTGTCAATGCAGCAATGTTTCTCTCTGACCCAAACAATTTCACAGGAAAAAAAGCTACATGCATATATTTCATCAGTGTCCGACTCTAATCGTGTGTCCACCATATTAGGTCAGACACTTTTTTGGTGGGGGGGGTTGTAATTTCTTTTTTATAATTATCTTCCAGAGAATTGTTCAAATTTCTGTGTACAGTTTTTAAAAAAATTTTTAACATTGTAATTTCGCAATTGTAATTGCGGTTTAGTTGTGAATAACATGATTTCTGACAAAAAAAGATGTCAAACAAATTTGATGGATAAGTGATTAGTGTTGGATACCAACGACTTGTGTGTCTTCTAAGTCTGTTTTTTTTTGTAATTGAAACAAAAATTAAAAAATGATTCAAGCAAATATCTTACCATTTTCCACAGGGCTATGTGGAGCTGACTGTATGGCCACTGAAGCCAGACCTTACCAGCATTCGCATCAACAGCAAACAGAGTTGTATCCTTAGCTCCTCTTTTCTGAAACTCTCCAGAATCATAAGTTGTTGTTCAGTGTAGGCCTAGCATTAATTAACATTTATTTTTGCTTTTTCTCTATGGTCTGGAAAGTTTTGGAGCAAGTTTCGGGTTATTTTCAATGTTTTAGGAATTTGTGATGTGAAAAGCTTTTAATTTTTCTCTCTATATATGACTACCTGTTTTTGTCTTTCTTTTAGTATTTATTTATTTTTTAAAATACCGTTCATTATCCCAGAAGTCTTTGGAGACATGGTCAAAATCATCGTCATCAGCTTTTGTGACCCCGTGCCGGTGTATAGGTCACTAACAAGAGCTGTGTATCTACTTCTGCCTTGGGTTATAGTCTCTACCTTGATCCAGCTGTGTCCCATCCTCTTTGGGTCTGAATCTAAGTATTTTTAGACCTTCCTCTCTTTCTCTTTCCTTGTTGATTCTATCCTAAGGCTTCGTGGGTAATGTATGATCAAGATGGAACCTATAACTTTGCAGGGTTGTCATTTTAATTGATCATGTACTCGAAAACCTCATGGAAACTTGTGAAGTGTACGCCACGGAGTCATTTTGTACCCCGGGGTTGTATTCTTCACGTTTTAGAACACTTGTAGTAGGAAGATCTCTTTGGAACTTTCAGTATTTCTCCCAAAAATTTTTGACAGACTGCTATGCAAAGCCTACGGATCGGATTAACGAGTAAATTTACTCTTTGGAAAGTGGTGGCACAGAGTTCCCCACGTCGTATAGATACGATAGTAAAACACGACGTACGGGTAGGTTTAAAAGATACAGTAAAATCTTGCTCTATTAAAGAGTGATGGCAACTTCCACACTGTTACTGACTTTTCCCCCTGATCCATGTCTGTTTCCTTGGCACCGATGTGTCTCTGACTGTGCTGTTCTATCCTTGGCACCGATGTGTCTCTCTGACTGTGCTGTGCCATCCTTGACACCGATGTGTCTCTCTAACTGTGCTGGTCCATCCTTGGCACCGATGTGTCTCTGACTGTGCTGTTCTATCCTTGGCACCGATGTGTCTCTCTGACTGTGCTGTGCCATCCTTGACACCGATGTGTCTCTCTAACTGTGCTGGTCCATCCTTGGCACCGATGTGTCTCTGACTGTGCTGTTCTATCCTTGGCAC